CTAGTAACAAGGGCCTTACTAGTAGTAACAAGAAAGCTACTAGGAACAAGTGCATCGCTTCTAGTAACAAGGGCCTTACTAGTAGTAACAAGAAAGCTACTAGGAGCAAGTGCCTCACTAGTAGATGTTTTTTGCCTTAGACCTTTAGAGCTGTTCTGTATTGTTGTCCATTGCTTGTCCCTTTTTACTCCGCCTCAGACCTTTCACTTCGCGACGTGCCCTGGCCTGTGCCAGCTGGTCCTGCCGGTGCACCACCATAGTTGAGATGCATCGCTCCTGGAGGCGAGGAAAACGGCAGTAACAAGTGCATCGCTAGTAGTAACAAGTGCCTTACTAGTAGTAACAATGTTCGCTACTAATTTAAATTAGTTTAAACAACAGCAACAGTGCTATGGAAAGCCGCTCAGTACCAACTTATCCCACCACTGAACGCGTGAAATGAACTACAGGTTCTGTACTTTCGCAGTAGGCAAGTGTCTCTGTCTACAACCCTGATGGGGCAAAACATGCGTCCAAATTGTGTGTGTTTCCCTTTCTCGATGGTGTGTTTTTGAAAACACAAATGAAGACAAGCTCTGGTGGACCTCTCACTTCAAGTTCTATTTTTGTTGGCCTCGACCTCCTCCTCCTCCTCCTCCCTACTGAATGAAGCCGGCGCCTACTTAATTAAGTAAGGCATTGAGGTAGCTAGTGGCTTACTTAAGCTACTAGGAACTGGACGCAGGATAGCTCGCGCTTCTTCAAGGAAGCTAGGGCGGCGGGGGAAGCTTCCATGAAGAAGCGCTCGCACCGATTTGGTTCCTAGATTTTGAGGGAAACTTAACTTTGGCTGTCCTTACTTTTTAACCTTTAAGAGGACAACGAGAGTGAATTTGACAAATAGATAAGGTTCGTAGAGGGTTCGTAGAGGGCCTCTTTGGTCTGTGTGTGTACACGACATGTGGTCTTTGACCTTCAGCCAGAATCTGCAATCTAAGAAATAGGTCTGCATGTTGAAATGTTCCAGACATGGCCCCACAGCTTGCCGTCCTGTCAAGGTCATGTAGCACTTGTCTGTAAGTGGCGTGACCACCTTGACTCATTGACTTCGGATCTATTCTGCGAAGTCAAATACATGTAGAAGCTACGAACGGAGCAAAGCGCATCGCTACTAGGAGCAAAGGGCATCGCTACTAGGGGCTCCTGGCCTCGCTACTAGGAGCGATCGGATGCTAGTAGTAACAAGTGCCTTACTAGTAGTAACAAGGACGCTACCAGAAGTTCCTGGCCTTACTACTAGGAGCAAAAAAGGAGCAAGGAGCAAGGAAGCTCTCCGTGACTTCTTCGTTCCACGTTTTGGACTCTGCTTTGTCCATGCTACTAGGGGCTCATTGTTCCTAATAGCTTCTTGTTACTACTAGTAAGGCACTTGTTACTAGAAGCGATGCACTTGTTCCTAGTAGCTTCTTTACTCCTACTAATAAGGCCAGGAGCCCCTAGTAGCGATGCCCTTTGCTCCGTTCGTAGCGTCAAGGACGCTGCCAAGCGTGGAGTGTTGCCCAAGTACTCGTAGGAGTACTTGAAGCATGCGATCGTCTGGCGACAAACCTGGGTGGCACTCGCTGGCACTCTCTCTTCGCTGCGGGCAAGGACTGCATTCTCTCACTTCGCTGGTCAAAAGTGGTAAGGCACTTGTTACTACTAGCGTGGCACTTGTTACTAATAGCTTCTTGTTACTACTAGTAAGGCACTTGTTACTACTAGCGTGGCACTTGTTACTAATAGCTTCTTGTTACTACTAGTAAGGCACTTGTTACTACTAGCGTGGCACTTGTTGACCCAACTGACCGAACTCGAAGTTGACTAAAGATTGGTTTCCATTTAAATAGCAATGGCCTCCAAACCGAATATTCTAGCGATTTATGTCCATTATTCTAGGCATCTGGCGCAATCATCTGAGACCATGCTGATCAAAGATGTTTCCACCTGTCAAGTGCCGAAAGCCTTCAGGGCTCCGCAAGGCTCCGCAAGGCTTCAGGCCTCTTCTCCTTCTGGTATCCAATAATATCGCAGCTGTTTGCTCCAGTCAAAGTCCTAAGAAACAAAAAGATGTAGGTTGAAGGCCATCGCTAGTAGGTTGGAGGCCATGACTATTAGTAGGTGCTTCACAGGCAATGCTTGACACGTTTTGAACCTCAATCCATTCAGCCATGTATGACACTAGTCCACTTCTAAGTCCATGACATCCAGGCTGCTTGTGCCAGCTTCAAGCAAATTCTCCAGCACAGTGATGCCATGTACCTCGGAATGCCGGCCATAGACTAACCTAAGAGCGGCCTCCAATCTAACTACTTAGACCAAGACCTCATATACCTGGTAGACACTCTTACTAGAAGCAAGGACGCTACTAGGGGCTCCTGGCATCGCTACTAGAAGCAAGGACGCTACTAGGAGCAAAGGGCATCGCTACTAGGAACAATGGACGCTACTAGTAACTCCTGGCCTTACTACTAGGAGCAGACCTCTTCAGACCTGTAGACCTTCTCCGTTTTGGGATCTTTGTATCACGCTCGCTTCTCAGGATCCCTGACATCCAGGACAATCAATGCGCCCATCAACACCTCGCAGCTGGCGCATGAAGACAGCTCACGCAAGCTCCACAGCTCGGACTCAGGGACCCAACGCGCTGATTTTTGGTGAGCTTCATGCGGACCTAGGAGACGCTGCGAACGGAGCAAAGGGCATCGCTACTAGGAAGAAAGGACGCTACTAGTAGCTCCTGGCCTTACTACTAGGAGCAAGGACGCTACTAGGGGCTCCTGGCATGGCTACTAGGAGCGGAGCAAAGGGCCTCGCTACTAAGTAGCAGCCTACGGAAGAACGCGTTTGGCTTCTGCAGGCCCAAAGATCAGGATGCTGACGATGCTGACGATGCTGACGCTGTTCTTCAGCTGCTCATTGTGGAAATCAATGTTGTCTTTCATGCCACTGGCCTCAGAATTCGCATTGTCAGGTGCGATTCGCGGTCACAGCATGGTTGGGGCACCAACCTCTCCTCCTGCGATTCTCTTCAATGCCTCAAACATCACGGCAAAACACGCACCCGCAATTGTCAAATCACTCGGGGCGACCTCCCTTTGAATCCAGGTGATTGCAGCGTTGTGTCAGCTAGTTTCTCCACCCGAAAGCGTGGTTAGCAAGAGTCCAAGACCTAAGGAGAAGAAAGCTCAGAAAAAGAAAAAGTCAAGGTCGAAAAAGAGGAAGAAGGTCTAAACGGACAAAAGTGAAAGGAGGCTAGTAGGCTGGAGGAATACGGTTTAAACATGTTTAAAGAAGGATCCAAAGGTCTGAAGAAAGAAGAAATGAAACAAGACAAAGCTCCTAGTAGCGATGCCAGGAGCCCCTAGTAGCGTCCTTGCTCCTA